TAAATCTGATGATTATTTTCATTGTTTTTGGCCTAAATGTCAATACAAAACCAAATCGAGAAGTGATTTAAATAAACATCAGTTAAATCATTCAAAAATAAGACAATTTAAATGTTATTATAATAATTGTAATAAAGTTTATTCAACAGAATTCGAGTTAAATAAACACAAAAATGACAATCATTTAAATATAACACTTAATTGTGATTGGCCTAAATGTCAATATAAGACCAGTAATAAACATTATATGGCAAAACACAAATTAATTCATTCAGAAATAAAACAATTTAAATGTGATTTTAATAATTGTAATAAAAGTTACAAAGACAATTCTCATTTATATCGACATAAAAATAGTGTTCATTTAAATGTGAGATATAATTGTGATTTCAATGAATGCAACAAAACATTTAAAAGGAAACAACAATTAGATGCACACAAATGTAGTATTCATTTAAACGAAAGAAAATTCATATGTAATGAAGAAAATTGTGGCAAAAAATTTGCCTCAAGTGGTAATTTAAATCAACACAAACTCATACATACGGGAGAAAAAGCATTTATTTGTCATTTCAATGGTTGTGACAAAAGTTTTAAAATGCCGTCGACTTTATCGCAGCATATAATGAGAAGCCATAAAAAGATACGCAAATATCAATGCCTTTCAAACGAGTGTCGCAAAGATTTTGTCTCTAAACAGGAATTAACAGATCATATGAATCGCATTCATTTGAATACAACACGATATAAATGTAATGCTAAACATTGTCACAAAGTTTATTTTTGTGAAAACAAATTGACAAAACATGTAGAAACCTATCACAAAGTTCACTAATTTACATTAAATATTTATTACTTTACAACGTGTTAAAATAATTATTATTTAACTTCATTTACATCCGATTATTATTGATTTTTTCCAAGATGATAAACATCTTTACTATTTATAAACGATTGTAAATATAATTACACTGTAAAAGTAATTACAAATCACCAAATATTTATATATAATATGGTACTAATAGTACTCCTAATTATGACCGAATAAATGCCAAAAACTTTGACCAATCGATATCATTGTATATGTATACATTGGATATTCATTGATCTCAGCAAAGCATTTGTTTCCAAACTCGACATCCATTGGAATGACTAAAATTAATATTACTATTTAAATGAATAAATATTAATTGATATTTTCAAAAAGTTTTTTATTTATTTTTTTGGTTATTTTTTAATATTTATTATCTTGTTATAAATATTAAATTTTACAATAGAATATATAAATGTATTGGTATTCCAAATAAATCCGCTTATACTGAACACAAACACCAGTTATGATTATTAAATATTATATTGTTTAAAATAGTCATATTACCTGCTAATAACTATTAAAATGAGATTACATAATACATATAGATGTTACAAAATACATATGTATATTAGAAGAGATTAGTAGAGAGATTACATAAAGTTAATTGATAGCTCGTATATAGAGTACGAGTAAAATCTAGATAAAATGGGGTTATTATAAATTAACCATAAATTGAATTAACCCTATTGGAGAAAATCAAGGAATTGCCATAATTTTTCCAATTTTACAGATCTACAATTAAATTTGAAAATAATAAAGTTATACAAAAAATATGTTACGGCATTAATACCAAATGATATGCTAATACAATGTTAATACAAAATAAAGTATATTTCATAAAACACAGTGTAATAATAATAATAAAATAGTTGTTCACTATAAGCGGGTTTATGTGATATATTATATAACTTCAAAAACCGAACAATTTTTACCCGAAATACTCGGTTCTCACTAATGGCTGAAAACTCAGCCGTTTTTAGTGAGTATTTCGACTAAAAAATACCGCAAAAACTTTTATTTCTATGTCTTTAAGCCATAGAAAAGTCAATTAATAAAAACATGTCATTAAGAAGAATAAGGCATAAATATATAATCCAGTGGTGGCCAGAGGGGGACAGACGCCTGTAGTGTTAAATACAATATGGGGGACAAGTATTAAATGTTATACAAAAGTGACTAAAACAAAAATATAATAGGAATATGAGATTAAACATAAGGTAAACATTCCTTTATATAGCGAGAGAAATACCATTAAAACACAATAAAACTACAATAAACACACAATTAGTTTTGAAAAAGTATATAACAGTCCCAACAAAACAAAACAGACAACTGTCCCCACTATGTGTGGGCCCGCTTTGAAAGTCTGGCCATCACTGGCGGGGATTAATATAAAAGCTTTATATATCACATAAAGTAAGACTAAATATTTAATAATGAATAGCAAAGGGAAAAAACATAAGTATTACGGGCTCATCCAATTGACTCCCGGAGCCGCTCCCTAACAGAAAGACATACTATTCTTGAGGGATGCCTTCACTTGTATCTTAGAGTTGTATTGGGCGGCCATTTGGTTCTCACGGCTCCGACGGTCCGCATCGGACTCGTCTCGGGGCGGACCGTGACGTACGGGTGCCCCACGACCGCGGCCTCGACCGGCACCGGAGCGGTCCGGAGTGGAAGCGCCAGTAACTGAACGTTGATTGTATGCTATAATATACTTGCGAGCCCTGTATGCGGCCAAATGGGCGTACTGTACGGGCGCCGGTATGCTTATGGGTTTGTCACAACGGGCGTAGATGTGACACATGTAGTTCGAGAGCTTCTGGAGCTCATCAGCCCTGAAGCCGTAGTCGTCGTGGAGGACATAGTAATGGGTCGGACGACTCGTACCCTATATATATAGAGAGAAAGAGGTTAAACACAAGTGTCCATAGTTTTGAAAGCACCGGTACCTGAATGCCTTCGTGTGAGCACAAGTAGAAGTCAAAGTCGGTCGGGTGGACGACATGTGAGTCGACTGTAGTGCCCGCCGGAATGTTTTTCATACGTCCGGTGCCGTCACGAATATTGGCCGGACGGAAGCGGGTGTGGTGTCGCTTCTGCACCGTAATGAATGTCACTTTAGGCGACTCAGTCATACCGGCTTTACGGCAACCGTCCAGTAGTTTCATGCGTTCGTAGTCCAAAACCGTTGAAAACTGAGACTCAGACACACCGTCCCTGTATTTGGCCACAAAATGATCAGTGAGTGAGTGAGTGAGTGAGTGAGTGAGTGAGTGAGAGAGAGAGA